TCCGAATCATGCACTATCCCATAGCCTCTACCACTCTGTTTCTCTACACTTTGGCTATGCGTAGTGATTACTTCATGTCAGTTTAAAGAAATTCCTCATTTCTCACAGCAGAGTTTATGGGAAATGATAAACTCCGAATGTTTCTGTGTTATTTGCACTCAGCCTTGTGTTATACTAGCAGTTGGCAAACTGTTCAGTATGCGCTACACTCTGTGGACATGACCTATCTTAATGTCTTCCCAGGTGCCTCTTATGCAATACTCTCAAACCAAACCCAAGATCACCCCAGACCTTCTACAGAATGATACATAGTAATCTTTTTAGAAATTTGACTAGTTGTCAAAGTTCTGCATTTCGACTTTTTTTTTTTTTTTGGCAAGATCTAGGTAAACATTTTCTAGCTACACCTTACAAACATCTCAAAAGAATTGAAGTTCATGGTAGTTGCTCAAATATTACATCTAAGTGCTGTTTTTCTGATATAAAATAATATGGAAATTTTTAAATTAATTTTATTATACTTATTTATTATTTTTTACATTGTGTGTGTCCCACAGTGCGTGTTTGGGAGTCAGAGGACAACGTTCCAGAGTTGGTTATTTTAGTTAATTTTAAAGACTTATTCATTTTTTATGTTCAAACCTTTATTAAGAAGTGACCATGTGCCAGCTACTGAGCTTACAGCCAGCATTATCACCGTTATAATCAAATATATGTGAGCTAACTTAAATCTGATTTATTGATGTTTGTTGAGTTCTACATTTTTCTCTGCTACCCTCCCTGCCTCCCTACCCCCCTTCAGTCTTCTCCCAGGTTCCCCATGTTCCCAATTTACTTGGGAGATCTTGTCTTTTTCTACTACCAATGTAGATTAGATCTATGTATGTCTCTCTTAAAGTTCTCAATGTTGTCTAGATTCTCTGGGATTGTGGTTTGTAGGCTGATTTTCTTTGCTTTATGTTTTAAAACCACCTATGAGTGAATACATGTGATAATTGTCTTTCTGGGTCTGGGTTACCTCACTCAAAATGATGTTTTCTAGCACCATCCATTTGCCTGCAATATTCAAGATGTCGTTATTTTTTAAGGATATTTTTAGATTATTCAGTGAAGCAAAAAATTATTATGAAAAAAATCTCTTAAATTTTTAATGACTGGGACTTTTGCTGGACCTCACAGCTAAAGTGAATATACTTAGAGATCACATAAGACTTAAGACTGCATTGTACTCAGCCTTCTTGTTTAAACGGCCTTTAACAAAACAGTGCAACCACCAGCTTTACTTGTATTGAATTTCCTATGTAATCAGCTCTTATAAACTAAGTTAATGCTCAGTTATAATCCTAAGATGCACAGTCTTGCATGCCGCTGATGCAAAGAGATAGGCATGGGTATTTGTAGCTGTGTTAGCACAATCATTGGTTGAAAACACAAAACAGATGTTGAAAGCAAGCTTAGAAAATATGAACTTCCACCATGAATGTTGAATGTCTGATAAACAATGATATTTGTAATACTGGTTGTTGTCTCTGTCAGTTTGGGCCAGTTGTCGTCAGTGACTTAATTCCTTGTAAATCTCTGCTACTGATTTCTGTGATGTGTTCCACTCCTTTCCCATGCGATGCTTTCTGTGCTCTCCAATGAAGACAAAGAAAAGCCATTTGTTAGGGACACACACAGAGCCGCAGAGACACGGATTCAGGAAGCAGCTTTCAGATAGGCACAGATCTAGGCTCATTCAACAGACAGGCAGTGACAGTGGAAGACACAGGAAAGTGAAGAATTCAAATTTAGCCTGCTCCTACTCGAATAGCACTGGGAGAAAGTGCTTGGATTTCTTTCCCTAATGCGACACCAACACATTATTAGTGATTCTGAGTTTATCACTAATGTATTCAAACCAACTGAATTTTGATGTTCAATGTGAGGAATCTCAAATGTTTTAAATCTATGCAATTCAGTATAAATGTCCTTGGACTGCTGGTGACCAAATCATCCTTGAAACTATCTGCAGTTGAAAGTGTGAACAGCACAAATAGAATAGAAACAATTCGAATAAAAATAATTTAAAAAATTCAGCTTCCCAAGAGGAAATGAATTGGTACAATCTGTTACCCGGTTTGAAATAATTTGCAGCTTTATGTGGTTGGATTTTGAGGAACGTCATGTTTTTGTTTGCAGGATTAAGCACGTAGGAAGGTTACTGAAGCACTAAAGTAAATACAGGGAAGAGATAAAAAGCAAGGAGTTTCGTTTCAGGACAGCTGGTGACTGTTCAGAAACAGACTGAAGAATCAGTGAAATAAAAGCTCAGACGTTAAGCCCCAAGTATTAGCATATCATTTTAAGCAGGAATAATAATATTTAAAAAAATCTCCAATTTTTCTTAGATACATGTTTAAAGCACTTTTTAAAGATTTATTTTTGTGTGAGCACATGGGTGTGTATGCAGGTGCGTTTCCATGTGGGTGTACATGTGTGAACAGATTAGAGATAAACGTTGATTACTTGTCATTCCTAAGGATGAAGATCACCTTGTTATCTTGAGGGGGAATGTCTTACTGGGCGGTGATTCAATGATTGATCCATACCTGCTAGTCAGCAGGACCCAGGGATCCTCCTGTCTCCACTTCCACTCCAAGGACTGAGATTAAGTACACCACCACTCCTAGATGCTTTCATTACATGGATACTCTGAATCAGATGCATATCTTCAATCTTTATGAAAGTCTTTACTTTCAAAAGAAGTATTTTATGGACTCAGCCATCTCTACAACCTTATCTGCTGGTCCTTGAGATGAGTATTTGGTAGTTGGCAGAACATTTGCTGGCTTGGATTCACACTAGTGATTGCTCCTGACCCTTGCTTCTAAAGAGCATATAAGCGTTACCACAGAAAATTACCCATGATCACATATACCTCTTCTGGTATATCAGTGTTTCTCAACCTCCTTATGCTACAGCCCTTTATTACAGTTCCCCATGTCTTTGTGCCTCCAAACCATAAAAATTATTTTGATGCTACTTCATAACTGTAATTTTGCTACTGTTAGGAATAATAATGTAAATATCTGATATGTAGGATATGTGATATGTGACCCCTAAGGGGGTCTTACCCGCAGGTTGAGAATGGTTGTGGTCGATGGACATTTTGAAAAGACTGTGGGGATACTGCTGTCCAGGGGAGAGTCTGTTGTCTGTCATCATCTATTGTTTGTGTTAGCTAATCGAAAATGAATGATATAGCAAAGCACCCACCTGATGTACGTGGGAGAAAATGAATAAAAATTATCATAAGTAGAAGAGAGAAAGAGGAGTTAGAAAATAAGTACACTTTATGGCTAGGGAGGTGGCTCAAGGGTATGAGAACCTGAGTTCAGATTCCCTGCACCAATGTAAAAAACATAAGGTGTATATATGTGCCTGCAGCATCTGTGAGGTGGGAGAAAAAGTGGAGCTTGAGACCACTAGCTTAGTAAAAAAAAAAAAAAGGCCAATATCAGGTCAGTGAGAAAGCCTATCTAAAGGTAGCAAGGGGACGAGTAAAAGAGTGGGACTTCTGACGAACTCTTCTGGACTCTGCACATACATTCACACATAGAAATATGTGCATACACACACACACATGCATCGCAAATACAAGCACAACATTCACACAGAAAAAGAAACCACGCAGAAGTTGAAAATTGGAATGTGAAATGTCATTGTAGGTTTTCCTCATAATGAAAGACAAATTTACTGTTGTTAGACTGACTGCCTTGAGATGGAGAACAACTCACTATACAATCACCTCCTGGGAATCCATTACTCCTTGTCACAGCTGGTAGCAATGAGCATGGATCTGACTTAACTCAATGTTATAACCACAGTAAGAGAATCTGTTTCAGTGTGTATTTTTTAAGGCTTTATTTTAGTGTGTGTGTGTGTGTGAGAGAGAGATAAAGAGAGAGAGAGAGAGAGAGAGCGAGAGTGAGAGCGAGAGCGAGAGCGAGAGAGAGAGAGAGAGAGAGAGAGAGAGAGAGAGAGAGAGAGAGAATGTTCCTGTGAGTTTGTGCATAGAACCACAGGTGACTGCAGAGACCAGAAGAGAACAATGAATGCCCTGAAGCTGGAGTTACAGTTGGTTTAGAGCTACCTAATATGGATACTGGGAACAGAACTGGGGTCCTCTGCAAGAATATTGATTGCTCTTAAACCCAAATCATCTCTCCAGCTTCAGGTTCCATGTTGTACAAAATTATTTCAGTGAAAAGCTGGCATTCATTGCAACCTTCTATGTTCTGAACTTTGCTTTGGCAAATCAAGCTTCTGCATTTCCAGGCAGCAGGGTAGAACATAGGTCAATTGGAAAATAAATAGCTCGACTCTGTGCTTTGAAAGAGATGTCCCAGTTTACCCTATCCCGTCAATCTTCTTTCCTTGCCAAAATCTGAACATTGCCCAGTGAGAGAATATTTCAACCATTGATATGAAAGAACTCATTTAATTTAGCTACTACACCCTGTTTGTTTTTAATGACTGGTGGAGAAACTATTTGAAATAACCTGCTTCATTGACAAATGTACAGTGTTTGATGGTAAGGAACATTGTGTATTATTTTCCTATTTTCACTCTTTTTCCTCATATGCTTAAAACAGCAATTGACAATGCTTCAAGAATAAATGTGCTTTCAATTCTTTGTGGTATTTTCTATAATAGTGATTGCAAGTTGACATTGTTTTTCCCAGCACCTTTACAGAGCCTTTTGCTCACAGTCAATGCATTGGAGCACTTTCTACACCAAGAGAGCAGCTATAAAGCTCTGCTGCATTCTCTGGTAGGGGAAGGACATTCCCCACCCACTCCAAAGATATCTACTGAGTAATTAAAGTAATATTTGAAAAGAAAACTGATTCTAATCAGCTTTCAAACTATGATCATGCCCTTGCCGAATCTTTCCTTTATGAATGTACTTCTCCTGAAGCAAATATAATCATGAAACTCCCTGTTTGTCTTTACAGGAACTGGGAAGTAACAGCCCCCCACAGAGAAACTGGAAGGGAATTGCCATCGCCCTGCTGGTGATCTTGGTAGTGTGCTCACTCATCACCATGTCTGTCATACTGCTAACACCAGGTAATCTATGGCTCTTTCTATCTTTGGATGGGGCTGTGGTGCATAATCATGATGCCTTAAGATGGTGGTGGTATATGGTCTATTTGGGCAGATTAACACAGTCTAGATGTTTTGAATGTATAATTAGACAACTTTGCTAATGGTATGGTGATTTTGTATCTTGAATATTATGTGCCGTGTTGGGTGAAGCTGGAACATAAGATACATAAAATGAGGATGTAAGGAAGACCCATTATCTCCATTACTACCCAAATGTTTGTTGGTTTTAAAAATGCCTAAGCCATGTGACTCTTGTATTTCAATATTTATAGAAATTTTATTACAAAGCACACCAAACTAGGAATGAATCCATATGTCCTTCAATGGATTAACAAATAAATAATAGAATAATAGTCCACAGAGAAATAAGTCAATGCTCAACATACACAAAACACACAAAGCCATGTGTGTGCATAATGCTAAGTGCAAAAATCTAAACCCAAAGTATTATTTATTATACATAAACATTTATAGAAACAGCATTCAAATGGAATTCTCAAAAAGAAAGGGGAAAATGGGGCCTATGGATGTAGTTCAGTTAGGAGAATGCTTGACTAGCACACATGAGACCCTGGATCCATGCCCAGCACTATAGACTTGAGGAGTGATGGTTCACAGCTATTATCCCTAAGGTGCTGGTAGAAGTACACATTTATTCTTGGCTATTTTGGTTAATGCCAGTTCAGGATACATAAAACCCCAAAGGAACAAGATCTTAAGAAAGAGGCTAAGTTTGAATCTGGTTACAAAATTGTTCTAGGTGTTGATTGTATTGGTGCTGAGGCCCTTTGTAAATGCAGTAAATAAGAGTGATAGTACACTCTATTTTCGTTGAGGGTTGAAGATTGAAGGTGTGGAGTCTGTGACTGTGGATGATAACCAAATTTATGGACATATAGAATATGAGAGAGGTAGAAATATATCACATGAGACTGATCAGAATGTGGAGACTTTTTCCCTGTGCACCTTTTCATCAATGGTGTCTTGATACCTTAATAAGGATAGTCCCTGCAATAATCTTTGGAAGGAATCTTTAGATACTTTGATATGGAAATCATCATGGCCGTAGTTCTTCAATGGGTACTACTTCAATCCTCAGAAGTTTTACTGTTCTCTAGTAGCGGTTAATAAAGGAGGCAGAAGTAGTAGGTTCCCCAAGGCAGCTTCCAGAAAAGGACAAAGCTGATATGCTTCTGTAGACCACCCAAGTGTCTTTTGCAAAGCTGAAATAACTGTGCTTAGTTTTCTGAAAATATAGTCATTTCTGGAATAGGATTGAGTAGCTTGAGTCTACTGAGGAGCACAGTTGTGACCTCTTGCTGTTGCTTTGTTTACACTTCACTCCTACCCCAGTTTCATCATTATCTAAATCCGTAAAGACAGTGGACTTATTTCCTCTTGAGCAAAATGTGATTAGCAAGGACTCCACTTTAGAGTCATTTACTCATGTAATTATAGTGACTAATTTACATAAATGACAGTTATCAATCACTCCAGCATGGAGGGAAATATTCCATCTTTGTAAAAATGGTGATTTCCTAGTGTGTAAACTACCAAAAATTAATAGTTGATAGTTTATATTTATCCTCTGGAGATCCTGAGAAAGAAAGGAAGGAAGCCAAAGGGAGCATAAAGAAGAGACAAAAGTAATTGAAGAAATACGCAACAAAAATGATTTCTTGGAAAGAACTGGCTTGCCTGGTACGCTCCGGGGAGCCTCCCCCTCACTGCCTCACTCGTGCATCTGTGGTTTGGTGTAATTGAGCAGTGTGATGGCTCTAATAAGTGACTGCAGCATGCCAAGAGGCTCCGCTCCAGGAAGATGAGCTTCTGTTCAGATGGTGTTTCACTTAAACATAAGAATTTGAGCATAATTACAAAAAATGAACCACTTGCTTTTGCTGTCTTGAATGGGTGCCTATTCACCAGATGCGAAAACCTGGTTCTACGATTTCTGTGCTTCTTTTGAGCTCATCCTTCCAATCTCATTCTGCTGCCTTTGACTTAGTGTTTCATTCTCTCAAATTGTTTCCTCACTCATTTAATGAAAGACATATGTGTGTTATATATATATATATGCATATATATTTAATATATATACATATATATATATATAAAGGTGAATTATTAGAATGACTTACACAGTATAGTTTGTATAGTCAGAAAAGCTGTTTGACACTGGAAAGGTGGGGAGTCTGATAGTTGCTCAGTTCCAATCTGGTGTTGAAGGCCTGGCGTATTTCCAAGTAACTGTTGATTTTCAATCTATTTTGGGAGCCCAAGGAAGTTTGTTCTAATCCTGCAGCAACAGTATAGAAGAGCATACAGATGGGAAGAAGGCAAACTCTGGGTTCACTTGACACTGCCTGCCTCACTGAATAAGGTAGAAAATGAAAGAAGACCCTGATCAGCCTGTGACATCCAAATATGTATGTACATGTATGTGTCCACATACATGTAAAGAAGCATGCACATACATGTACACCACAGCATACACAGAAAAAAGGAGAAAAAACATTGGACATTGGTAGGTTCATGTGGAGATTAAACTATATTGTAGATGTTCTGCTTTTAATCTGCTCTCTTGCTGTTTTAAATTTTAAACACTGTCTTCTCTTCCTGTTATATAAAAATAGAAGTCTACAAAATCTTCACACATACCCAATTCAAACACTGAATTTGCATATGACATTAGTCATACAGGTGATAGTGACCATTATTGTTTTAATTTGTAATTTTTCCAGTGTGTTTCACATATTCAAATGCCATTGGAATTTCATGTTATTTTTGGTAGAGATATTATGAAATAAAACCAAAATAATTATGGTAGATTATGGTGTATTAGCAAATAGATAGCCATGCTACCACCACTACTGTTTACAAACCCAAAGGTCAGGGAAGGCAACATAAATGGATATGATGAGGATGCAAATTTTTCACTGGTCTGTCAGGGATGAAGGTATTCTAAAGAGACACGTTTGTCCCACCTGTTGGCTGACAGATTAAGAAACAAAGCACCCCATGGAACTGGAATTTACCTAAGTAACTATTGCCTCTCAAATGCCTGTCGTGTAACATAGTAAGAATAACAGCAACAATATCATTATGGCGACCAGTCCATTATACATATGTGAATCCAGTTTACACACACTCTTTCTGTGTTATTTTCACTTTGAAAAAATTATATTTAGGTTTCTATATTTTCACTTTGAAAAAAATTATATTTAGGTTTCTATAAGTGAGTGCCTACAAAAGATTAACTCGTCTGAGAAATTATTCAGAAGCTGCTTTTCTCAGAATAGCCTTGGAGTCTGTAGGTAATGCTGAGGAATGCAAGCCTATATCTAGACAAACACATGTTCATTGTAATTTTGGCTTGATTGCAGATTTTATTACAGTAGTAATTTCAAACAGGTGCCTCAGTCTCTGCTTGTCAGAATCTTCTGTGCCTTGTGAAGAGATGGCTTGATAATTTTTGAAGACTGAGTTAACCAATCAAGCATTCCTTTTAAAAGGAAGCATTTCTGAAAGGAGAAAAAAAAACTTCACTCAATGTTTAATTGAAGAGTCGAGTGCTTGAGTACATTAATAGAACCTGAATAATTTTTTTTAGCTTATGTTAGCTTTAATAAATAATGGGTCCTTATGATTTTAATTTCAGCAATGGGAAGGCAGAGACAGCAGACCTCTGTGAGGCTGAGGCCAGTCTGGTCTACATAGAAAGAGACATTGTCTCAAGACAAATGAACAAACAAAAACCCAAAAGAAGGAGAAGGTGGGAACTTTTTGCTTTTAGAAGGCAATGAATGTAAGGCCAATAATTATATTCTACAAACATAGTAAAAATTTCTTTTCACTTAAAGGCATAGTAACCATCTAATATGAATACATTTTTTTCTAGTATCTGCTCTACATCAAAAGTGTAGCAGGGACTAGAGAGAGCTCACCTGTTAAACTGCTTGCCTTGAAAGTATAAAGGCCCAAGTTTGATGGTGAGAATGTGGCTGTCATACCATGTTCGTGTCATTTAAGCACCAGGAAGATGGAGACAGAAATTCTTGGTGATCTAGAACCATTCTGTTTTAGATCATTGTTGGACTTTAGACCAATGAGATACCCTGTGCCAAAGGACAAAGATATGGAAGATATTCCTCAAGAGAACATTGGAGATTGTACTCTGGCAATCACAAAATGTGTACTTATACAAACATACATGACCCTCCCACACACATATCAACATACTTGTGTGCACACACATATGTTTTTAAAATGTGAGTTATCATGTTCTGAAAAACATTTTATGAGGAATATGGTCTACCAATTTTGGCTTGCTTGTGAAACAGCAGTGCCTAGTCTTTTTAGTCACAATAAAAAGTTTTGTAAAAGATATCCATCAAGTTCTTCAATTTGTCTGTCGTGTTGAAATAACACCCTGTGGGTTCTTTATATGACACCATTATTCAGCTTCAGTGGGCTGGTGCCCTTGATTTCATGTTTCTTATCATGGCTGACTAAGGCTGAAATTGTAGAGTCCTGACACAGTGTCTCGAATGTTAGCTCTAGCTGACATTCCTATTGCAGAGTTTTCATTACTTTGGTACTCGATAGATGAGCATATGACATAGATTTTTTTTCAGACCAATCAGAGTATGAAATGTATCAGACATTTGTATATAATCTCAGTTTTAGCAGGGAATACCTTTGTTTCTACTTCCTGAAGTAGTCTCAATTTTAAGACTTTTCTAAGTGGTCCAATCCATATAAGGAAATAGTTTGCAAAATCCTAGACTAAGTATATTAATGTTAAGGTAGAACTGTACTACCTGGTGGAGTGTAGAACCCATCAAGGTCACGTAATTCACTGGAGTCAAAGGGTAGGACTAAGGATAGAAGGAACCAGGTAGATGCCCACGACAAGCAACAGAACCAAAGTTGAGGTTAACACTTAGGGAATCATGCCT